CGCACGGTGGGGGCTGAGACAGGGCAGAGAGCCAGACCCCCCCCCTGCCCTTCGCTTCTGGATCTGGCCCCTGAATACCAGGGCTGGATGCACCCAGCAGCTAAACAGCCACGAGCCACGGTGCTGTGGAGCTGGGATGCTCCAGCCCCGTGGAGCTGGGATGCTCCGGCCCTGTGGTGGGACAGGAGGGTCTGAGGTGGGGTCTGGAGAAGGGATAGTGGGGCCGTGAGTCTTAATCTCACCTTCATGCCTCTCTGCGCTCATCCTCTCTCCCTCATGCCCCTCTCGCAGCGCTGGAGGATGAGGAGGCGAAGATCGGCGAGTACCGGCGGCTCCTGGGCACCCTCCCCACGGTGAACCGGGCCACGCTGAAGGCGCTCATCAACCACCTCTTTCGGTACGGCGTGGGCGGTGGGTCCACGGCACGGCAGAGCCCGGGCTCCCCGAGCCCCCATGGGGCATCGCCCTTGAGCCCGGGCTCCCCAAGCCCCCATGGGGCATCGCCCCGTCTGTTGCGATGTCCCGGGGAGGCTGTAGGGCGGAGGAGAGTCCTCATCCCATGGCTCACATCCCAAGCAAGGAAAGGAGTGGGATTTGGGGTCAAGCTGTGCCCAAAGCCGAGCATCACGTCCCGGCGTGGGGGACATTCCCCTTGGCAAGGCTGAAGGGGAGTCCCAGGGGGCCTCCGGGGCAGGAATCTTAATGGGGTTCCCCGCAGGGTCCAGCGCTTCTCCGGGGAGAACCAGATGAACACGCACAACCTGGCCATCGTCTTTGGGCCCACGCTCTTCCAGACAGACGGGAAGGACTACAAGGCGGGACGCGTGGTGGAGGACCTCATCAACCACTACGTGAAGATCTTTAACGTAGGTTCACCCCCCCCCCCCCCCCCGGGCCCGAGAGGGGGCTGCATCAGGCCGATGTGTGGACATTCCCAGGGGACGGGGAGGTGGAAGGAGGAGGAAGCTGGATCTGCTCTGTCTGCAGATATCTCCTTGCTTCGGAGACGAGGGGAGGGGCGTCCATGTCCCTGCAAACCCTGGAGACCCCTGAGCCTGGAGGTGCCGGCACCGCTGGGCGGGGGAGCAGATTCCCCTGGGGACCTGCGTCTGCTTCTGCATGCACCAGGGTGGTCTGGTCAGCCCTGACAGCTCCCTGGGCCCCTCTTCCTTGGCAGGTCAACGACCAAGAGATGAAGAAGCAGCAGGACGAGATCATGGCCATCATGAAGATGCGGGAGGCAGCGTCCAGTGGGACGCAGGTGGGTCCTGGACATGGGGACCTTCCTGGGGCACACTCTTTGCACGGGGACCTCACCGCCTGCTCCAGCATCTCCTGGAGATGTCCCAGGCAGGGGGTGTCCACGCTGGGTTGGGGGGGATTTAGCCCACACGTGGGAAGCTGCAGGTTGAAGTGCTTTCCCGTTGCCCTCCAGCAAGCCGGGGACTTCATCTGCACTGTCTACCTGGAGGAGAAGAAGACGGAGGCAGAGCAGCACGTCAAGGTGAGCGGTGGGGCGGAGGGCACAGAGGGGACAGGGACCCCCTGTTGCATGCCCAAACCTCTGTGGTGGCATGGGGGGGATGCTCTGAGCTGGCACGAGGGTGGCACGGCCCCGGGCACTGGCTGATGGAGGCCTGTCCCTTCCCTCCATCCCTCCCTCCCAGATCCCGGCCACGATGACAGCTGAGGAGCTCACCTTCGAGATCCTGGATCGGAGGAAAATTGTCATGAAGGAGAAGGACTATTGGAGCTGCTTCGAAGTGAACGAGAGGGAGGAGGCAGGTTGGTGCGGGGGCATGAGGGCGGTGGGGATGGGGATGGAGGTGGAGATGGGGATGGAGATGGAGGTGGAGGTGGGGATGGGGATGGGGATGGAGATGGGGATGGGGATGGGGATGGGGATGGAGGTGGAGATGGGGATGGAGATGGAGGTGGAGGTGGGGATGGGGATGGGGATGGAGATGGGGATGGGGATGGGGATGGGGATGGAGGTGGAGATGGCGATGGGGATGGAGGTGGAGATGGAGATGGGGATGGGGATGGGGATGGGGATGGGGATG